AACGATGTATAAATTGGTTGAGAAAAAAAGATAAACAGCCAGGCCGGTAACACAACATACATAGATCAATTAAGCGTTTAAGTCCTACAGTGGCTTGAAGTAAGGACGAACTGGTAGCTGAATTTTTCACTTGCTTACCAACTTTATCGTCGCTGTACTCAAATGTGTACTGGACCCAAGTCATAAAAGAGGTCGGAGGTAGTTGGGCTTTAAGTAGGACGGCAGCAGTTTCACAGGCAAGGAATATTTCCACGGTCTGAAAAAAAAGTATGATGATGCGTGATGCTTTGCAGCTGCTAAGGAAGGCTGTTCCAGATGCGAGCGTAATAAACTAGAAAGAAGTATTGGCGTATGTTTGTACGAGCAGGGGTACACTAAAAGGTTACAGGAACTATGGATTCAGTATCGAGGACGTGAGTTTACGCTCTGTCTAACCCCTTGTATAAAGGCATTTTTGTGCACAAGGTGGTGTAGGATAGTTAGATTCATCTTAAACCATCTAAGCCATAGTAACTCGAGGCCTAGGGTTTGACCGAGGGAACAGCTTTTTCGTGAATGAGCATTGGACGCTTTCAAGTACAAGCCTACTACTTTGGGTACAAAGGAAGGAGAATACGGGACAGAATTTGACAACTGGTCGTACGCATAGCTTAAAAATTTCAACCACTGTGTCTGAAAGGAGCGCAGTATGGAAAAACCGAGCCTGCGTGCTCGGGCAACCTGGTACTGCACCTGGTGGGGAAAGCTAAACGTGCAGGTGTGTCTGAGGCCAAGATCTTTGATATCCGTGGAATGAATGATAGGATTTCCATTTATTGTGAAAGCATCTGCCGGGAGGTAGCAGCGGCAGGAAGTTATGCAGTACAGTAGTCGGCTGTAGAAGCTCGGAGAATGGGTTTCTTGTGAGTTGTCTTTGTAGTCTGTTGCGAGCAGCCTTGACCATTACGGTCTGGAATGTCTGGGTCGAGGACAGAAATGTCTGAGATGTTAACAGGCGCGTGGCATCGCCTTCATCTCTGAATTGCATTAACATTGGGCAACGCAAGGAGGGTTTCGATTTTCGCAACCGTCGGGCTGTACGGTCTGTGTCATGCTTGTTGCATGCTGTCAAGACTGTGGCTTTTGTGCGTTCTACCGGGATGCGATCGGGAACATTACATTACGTTACATTACATTACATTACATTACCTGTTTACGGTATTCCGACTAATTTGCGAGGCGAGCATGTCAATAAAGACTGACGCTTTTGCAAGATCTGATGGATCACACACTGCATTAGGAGTTAGAAGGCATGCCAGTGGTTTCATGATACCATAGGTTATTAGTTCACTTCCCATCTTATGCACACGAACACTGAGATTTGCCAGGTCGGTGAGGAGCTGAGATTCTTTTGGTGAAGAGTAGGGAAGACAGCTATCGGGTACGGCAGGAAGGGAAATGTCAGTTAGTACAACTGAGAGGGTTGAATTAAACTGGGACAATATATCGACCGGATGATGAGTTTTAGTGTTATGCCTTTTACCTGCAAGGCGCTTCTTTGGACACAATGAGGGGAAGGATGATGGGGAATCAGGGTCTAGCAAGCGCTTAGAGGAAGATGGGACTGGCGGCATTGTTTGATGCAAATCAGGTAATGGTAAGCCTCGGTGGGATTATGCTAGCAAGCTGATACTCAGTAGGGCATGATCAAGCTAGAAAGTGTTGGAGGGGTAGTTGGGTGCGATTAAAAAGGAGATATCTAAAATAGGTAGCTAAATGCTACACTAGAGTAAGTAAAACTTCACGGTGGGGTTAGGGTCCAAAAAATTTTTATAACACCAATCCAATAATAATGCCAGCAAAAAGTCGTGAACGAAAACATTCATCTGGATTTACGAGCAAGATTGCATATTTTCAATACCGTAGTTTTTTGAACAGCTTCAACTATTGTGTCGAAGTCACCTCAAAAATTTTCCACGAAACACTGGTATATTACTCTACTTCCAATTATATATTTCTCTCTTAAGTTGGCGAATTTCACGCCACAAGAAGGAATCTAAAAGGACAAAACAGTGTAGTCGTTTGAGTCAAGTGTAGTGGTCTGTCTGTCGTGAAAATGTACATACAGCTAAAGTGTTTCCAAGCAAAACGGGAAAAAAGGCCTAAAACCTAAATAAAAATTTGAGAATCACGGAATTCAGAACAGAATTCAGAACGATTGCAACCTATTCCGAAATTTGTGCATATGTAGGTGCACAAGTAGAAATTAACGAATGTCAGTTACTTCGGTTTGTTACAAATGTGGAGTTTTGTACCTTTATTTTACTTCCATTATAACACTATGTATTTCATCAATTGCGTAATCGTTTTTTGTTTGAATACGAAAAACTATAAAAAACGCGCACTTGTACCATTTCACATAATTCAAGCGTAGTCACGTGCTTCAACTCTCTCTTCTGATTTCGCTCGCGCTTGCAGCGGCCATTCGCGAGTCTCACGTACTAACTCTGGTATCAAAACATTTTAGACCATCTTCGGAATCTATTATATGTGGGAACTGTTCAGAAGAAGACCTCTGGACCAACATAATTGGATTATTGTTCATTCGCTGACCTGGGCCAACGACGAACTATTTTAAACAGAACAATTGTTAGTGAGTCTGTTCCATCTGACTTCTATATTTTTGTATACCCAACCTAGCGTTATTATTTTTACTTCTTTGCCACACACTCCTGGTAAACTAACTTATTGGGTAGCCAGACCACTACACAGGCCCGAAGAGAAGTAGCTAGACTTGTGCCCTTGGTGTCAACACCTTGTGTAGTGTCGTCATATTTTGCGATCTGATGAAGTGAGGATGTACGGAGGAGGCCCTATAATTGACTTTGCCTGCAAGGCACCGCTGTTAAATGATCGCATATGATTCGGATATGTTGGCCGCAAGGTTGCATGATTTTTTGTGGTTCAAAATAATACAGATATACTTGAGCAACAACCATGCTGCTGGGGTTCCGCAAAATCATACTTTATGTGTGAATATCAAGATTTACGAATATGCAGGTCGGCTTTTGATGTGGTGACAAAATTAGGTACACAGCGTTACGTTCATGCTGATCAACGAGTTGGCACGCTGATCTTTGAATCTATTGTGCCGTTAAATCTGGGACCTTAGCAACATTTAATGATTTCTTTTCATTCAGCTAAACTGCTTAAAATAGCCTCTTACTGAGCTTCCTCTACGTGCAGATGCACGTTGTGACCATCTGAATTAATTTCACATTTCAGAGGCACTAGGTTATTCCAGGTTAAGAATAGTGGCACATAGTATACGTGAAATAGATCGCCACTTATTTGGTGGAAAGGGAACTCCTGACCGGGATTCTTTAGTTGCACCTCAGCAGGTCTATTAATAACTCTTGTTCGATTATTTCTAAAAGTAAGTCTACACCCAGGTTTCATCGTGAATGTATATTATCAGTCTATTTGTGAATCTATGTCGTTTAGGGGTATATTCGTTCACCTAAATAGCGAAAAAATTGTCAGTATACTGGACGCACATTAACTGTCACAAGTTATTCATGGACGTGAACTCTGAAGGAAGATATAGCGAGCGCTGGATTCTGGTGAACGCAAAAATTGTGGCTCATCTAGATGCGTGACGAAATAGAAAATAGAGTTAACAGCTCGGTTATCTGTTCGTAACCAGCTGGTAAGTTGACAAATTACTAACATAACTCACAAGTAAGCAAGAATTCACATAAATAGCTTTCACTAAAATGGAACGCTGCTGAGTGGAATTAAACTGTGTCAGTGTGGAAAACATGGCGTGTTCCGGAAATCCCAAATGAGTGACACCTGGAATCGCAAGCCACGGGCTTTTGTGATTACTTGGGAAATGCGTTTTTACACGTAACAATACTTATATGAGCGGGATAATTCCTCAAGTCATGGGCCTTCCTGTTAAACAGATGTACGGATTGATACAAGTCTAAAGAAAGCACCGATAGGACGGCAAAGTTATCTGAGCCAGAAACAAAAATTTGCGGATAGATGTTGCAACGCAGGTGGTGGAAACTCACACGTCAAATCTGTTTCGATATGGTTTGTGTTAAACGTTCGTGAATGGTTGTGGGTAAATATTGCACGTAATAGGCAGACGCAGGGAACAAGCAAGGGGAAGGTTGGATTGAACGAAAGGGGGCACACCGCCTCATCAGAGCCAGCATTGCCTTACTTAAGCTCGGCAATAATGGGGATAAACATGATACAGCTGATCATGTCCGCACTCACCACTTGCGTTCCTTAATGTCCTTCTTGAATATTAACCGCCAGCGTTTCCATTACACCTTATAACATGTATGTAATCTATATGTACGGTAATATAACCTACCACCTGGACGCCAGGGGCAGCGGCGATTCGATCCCTTTCGATCAGTACGGCAGGCAACCTTAATCTGACATTATAGCATTTACTCCACGATCAAAGCAGTGAAATGTATCCTCTCAGACAGCGCCGCAAAAAATTTGTCGGCCATTAAAATGACTCAGAAGACGCTGGCGATTATATTGATTCCAAATCTGCTAATCTTTGTTATGTTGCCTTCACGTCACATACTATTTCCTATTCGACTTCGTTGCTGTTTCTAAGCTTTTTTCTCGTCCAGCCGTAGTCCTTTCGAGACGCAACGTTGACGTTCTTGAAGCACCCAAAGATACAGTGACGACTGCACCTTTCATGGGATTGCTGATTAAACGGGGGAACCTCAAAATTGTGTTCTTTTTGCGCTTTTGTGGTCAAGCGAGGAGAAGAGAGACACCAGATGCAAATAAAAGTGATCTTTCGTGACGATTTTTGGACGGATAATAATAGCCAGTTTGTCATTCAGACGATTGCGGTGAACCAACCTTTGGCGACGTTTACCTTTGATTCACCACTTGGAGTTGTTGACCTAGCTGGGGTAATTGCTTTGGTATCTCTAGGAGTTTTGCTTTCCTCTGGTGCATCTGCTTTTTATTCCTCATTAAGGGTCAAGGAACGAACTAGGTTGCAGAACTTGGGATGCATTGGCGTACAACTGCGAGTAGTTTGTAGGCTCCAGGTCAGACCTGGTGCATTTCGCATTGCCGTCATTCACAGTGGCATCCACTACAAAATTGTCAACCTCAGATGCATTAGCGGTTGGCACTGCTCTTACTCCTAGCGTCTGTTCCAGTGACAGCAACCCTTGCGACACGGATGACAATTGATCCTTGTCCATCATCCATTCCTCATCACGCTATAAAGTATGTGGCTTTTGGAGCGATGAAATCAACGCTTCTGGGAGGTCATACGTAACCGGATGCACTTATTGTCCGTGAAAGCGATACTACTTTGTTTCCATGAAGTGAGTCCATTGATTGAATAAAGAGAAAATTAGATCATTCAACCATTCAAAAGTTTACATTGTTGTGATATTCAAGGTTTGACGGTTACCACAAGGGTTGGTTCCGTCCATATCTAATCGCCACGAAACGCCCTTCGCCATAGTCCCTTTTTAGCTAGACCACCGAAGAGGAAATTTATATATTTCCAGATAATTCCGGTGACGTCTGACACGTGACATGAATCTCCATGCACTTTAGCTAGCTATGAACCTGCAAGTGACATTGCCCTCAAGGTGTAAGGGTAGTCAGCATCCAGCAAAAATAATTTTCTGTATGCATAGACAGAAGGAAAACTTGATAACCAGTTTCATTGGCGTTGAAATAAGGATAGTTGTATCGCAACTCAGCAAATATTCGTGTTTCAACCATCGCGGATGACTTTGGGTTATCATGCTTGCTTTATGGCGCTCCTTTATTTGCATACCCAACTGACTATAGCTCAGTTTCCATGACGTGCTAGGTATCATTATACAGCGGGCTAAAATTTCAGAATCATTGTGGTTGCCGGTGATATGAACGCCCATGTAAATCGACTAAGCGCTGCTGAGGCCCGATAAGGTAGTCGTCTTTGTTTGGACACGAGACGTATAGACAACGGAGACCGGTTACTTTAGATGTGTGCCGATCAGAGACTGTTTCTTTGCAGTATGAATTTCCGGAACAGCGAAAATCGCTTGACAACGTGATGCCCACCATCAAACCATCGCCAAATCAAAATAGACCACAATGCTGTCAGTTCCCGGTGCTGAGGGTGGATCACCGCCTGCAGCTCCTTCTAGAACACCAGCGGGGACTCGGACCATTCACTTGTATGCTGTTGCTTTTCTTTGCACTTTTGAGGTGTCCGCAAATTGCGCACACCTCGCTTAGCCAGTGAGAAGCTAGTGGACCTAGAAGTCAGAAGAAACTATCAGAAGCAGCTCCTTGAATGCCTGCCGAACGGTATGGTAGCGGATATAAACGGTCACTGGGAAAAAATACCCAAAGCGTTACTCATACTCGGAATGTCTGTTTGCGGTATAACCCGGCCGAACCCATCTAAGCATTGGATCTCTGATACGACTGTGTCTTTGCCGGAGACCCATCGACAGATTCCTCCTGGCCTCAACCACAACTCCACACGGATCACGCATCATTTGAGCCAGGTGAAACTGAGCGTCCGCGCAGCCCAAAAAGCTTGGTGAACCTCAAAATTCAAAGAGATGGAAGGCGCAGTGAATGCTGGAAACTTGCGCGAACTCGCCCATTTGATTCGTTAGACTGGTGCTCAAAAACCTCTTGTCAGCCAAATGATCAGATACTAAAACAGCTCCCTTATATGCAGCAGAGCGGAACGTTTTGACCGCTGGGCACAATACTTCGAACAGAAATTCAGCGGAGTACTTGCTACCTCCAATCCAGAATCCTAGTCTTCAACAGAAAGGTGGACCTTAAATATGGAGCGGTCTTTGATCTCAGAAGTGTTTGAATGTATTTCTCTACCCAAGCGTCATAGTGCTTCTGGTCCTGAAGACCTTCCATATGCCAGTGGATTCCGCAGCCAGTGCCTGACTAGCGTATTTGGATCTAGCTGAAAGATGGAGGCCGCACCAGACAGGTGAGGTGAAATGATAGTAGCCCCTTTTTCCAAAAGAGTTCTCGCAATGAACGTAATAGCCAGAGGTGTCAGTTTGACTCCTGTTTCCAAAAGGCTTTTAGTGTCACTGATTCTTCGTCGTCTTACGGTGCTATGCGAGGCCTTGACTCGTGACAATCAAGTAGGATTTCGAACTGATAGAGGCTGCGTTGAACACCTCTTCACAATCCGTCAGGTGTTGGAGCAACGCCACACGGACACACGACCCATAACCTTGGTATTCCTTGACTTCAATGGTGCATTTAATCTTCTCGATCTATCAGTACTGTTAACTACACCTGCTCAACAGGGTATGCCCAAGAAGTTTGTAAGCATAATTCGATCCCTATATCCACATGCCCTGGGCGGGTGAGAGTGTACGGGGAGCTATCCGAAAGCTCCTCAACAAAACGCGCTATTAGACAAGGATGTGCAGTCTCTCCATTCTTGCTCAACTTCGTCATTGATGAAATAATGCGGCGATCACGGAGTGGACATCAAAACCGCAGTGTTCAAATTTTTTGCTGATGAGAGCCTTATCGATTGGGAGTACGCAGATTACATTGCCCTCATCTTTGAAGAATAAACCGAAGAACAAGCCCTATGGAATAAACTGATCGCCATCATACCATCATTTGGCATGCGCCTTGCACCTTCAAAGTGCAAAGTCCTGTTTCAGAACGTACCATCTGCGAACGTATCCCTTACAGTTCAAGGAGAATCACTGGAGATTGCGGAACACTTTACATACGTCGGTAGTTGTATCAGCTCTGACGGAAGTGTGTCTGATAAAGTCAGTACAAAAAGCTCAAACGTTCGAATCAAAGTAGTTAAGTTGCAACACGAGTGGCGTCAAAAACACATCTCACTTGATTTTAACGGTCGTGGGTACCAGGCTACACTAAGGGCTGTGTTTTTGTATGGATGCTAGACATGTCCCCTGAGGACAGATGATGTGATCCGTCTTCATATTTTCGACCACCGATATATCAGAAGCGTGGGTGGTTTTGAATGACGTCAGCTTGTTAGTAACGCGGTTATTAGAAAACGGGTATTTGGTTGTGCTACAGACATTTCAATCCAGGACAATAGCCAGCATCGTTAACTACGATAGCTCGGTCATGTGCTACGCATGACGAAACACCGTCTACCGAGAAGAGTGTTGTTTCCCGTGTCTCCTTCAGGATGTCGCAAACTGAAAGGAGGACAGCGCATAACTTGGCAGGAAGGCGTTAATAAGATCACGAAAGTTATTGGGATTGCTAGTGTTGTAAGCCTTTCAGGATGGGATCCCCATGACCCTGCTCGTGCTTGGCTGGAGACGTTGCAACAAATGGAGGATAATCTATATCAGTGGCGTTCGTGCTGTCAGTTTCTTCCCAGATTTTTTGATTGAGCGATTGGTGTGAATGCTGGACAGAATGCTAGACATATTTAAGCACCAGATTCCCACGCACTCTTTTTCTCCTCGTTTCACTCTAGGGCTTTTAATGTAATTATATATATATATATATATATATATATATATATATCTGTATAAAATATGTATGTATATGTGTGTATATTTATTTAACTTGACGAACTTTATGGTTGCACTTCAGTAAGCATCAGTGCCAACACTTATGTTGGTGAGGATGATGTTCATCCGAGGAAAAGCAACCCCGTATGAGGGTATGCAATTTGCGGAAAGTCCCCGATGGGGCCCAGCTTTCTGACATCGGATTTGTTTTTATCACAAATTAAGGGCACAATTAAGAGGTTAACTCATCTGCAAACCGAAGTCGTCTAGTTTCTAATGAAGCAAGTAACAATAATTTATTAAACTCCATAGAGCAAATGTAGTCGACATAGAGACACATATATGTCCCTGAACTTTGGCAGGTATGTAAGCATTCATCTAACCGATATCACGTTTTGCCATGCACTTTAGTCTAAATGAACGACGAACATACATAAAAAGTGGAACTAGTTAGCGGTTTAGTTCGGTACACCGTCAGATTCCGTGATTTATCCTGCCTGTTACTCCCAACATGGTTTGTACTACCTAGTAACACACCCCAGACCATTCTCAGCTTTTAAGCTATTTGATGGCATTTACAAGCCTAGGTTTAATGAAACTGTTCCTCTGTTAAGATTGTTCCAGTTAGAATATGGCCAAGTATTAACTAGTTTCAGTCCCAAAGCACAAACCGGATATGTTACTGTGCACTAATTTTATAGGTGAAGAAATTACGGGTAGTTGTACGGTATACATTACCTAATGTTCTCCTGAATGGTGGTCTATTTTCTGGAAACTCATTCAAATGTTCATGTGCTCGTTAGTGGATAATATTTGGGGCTGTAGCTGAACTGTGCAGGTCAGTATTACTGGACTGGCTCTATCACGCAATTTCACGAGGAAGATCTGGAGACAGGTGTGGCTATTCCTTTATGTAAGTTATATATATATATATATATATATATGCTTCAAGGTTTGAAAGCTTCTGGTTCTCGAAATGTTTTCGTTAAACAGGGCGTATTGGTTGCTTATTGTTCTTTTGCTACACTCAAGCAAATGCGGCGCAGGTAAGTTTTTCAAATCGTATTTTTTAACGACGTCAGCTATCCTGGTTTGCATAAATAATAACAAAACACTGAGTTGCCCCAGAATTTTCGACGATGTTTTGTAAAAAGCAACGTCAACTGAACTGTTATATTTTGATGCAGTTTATTCAACTGCTATTCTGTCCCAGTTCAGAATAAGCGTCCATCAAAGAAATAGCTAGCAAATATCACACCAGATATTTTGCGCGCCTAATTACAAGCTGTTCACATAATTATGGGTTTGCTTGTAAGGCAATGTGCTTGCAGAACTGGCGTTGTCTACTTCGCCCTAAAGCCCGATCCGAAATAACTTTGTCTCTTGTGAGCTGTTTTCGACTTTTTTCATGAAAAGTCAAATTGCATCACAATCAACGGCTAACCGCCTCCTAGAAAACGCAACCTACAAAATCACGCCTGTTATAAACCATACTACACATTTTCCGCCCCAACAATATTCTCACTGGGAATATCACACTGGTGCCTGTGAAACGCTGATTCATCCGACCAAATTACGCTACCATATTTTACACACCATCTCACTGTTCGCCAAATATGCACTTCAAAATAATGGTGGCTGCACATCCAAATAAACCTTAATTTTACCGATCATGCCAGTTTCACAGACATTGTTCTGTTTTA